CGCGCTCGGGCCACTCACCGCCATGATGGGGGCGGCGGGCTTCAGGGCCAGCTTACTGACAATCGCGTACAGTCTCATTCGGTTATACTGTCCAGCTGCTTGCTCGGCCCCTTCCTCCAGCGCCGCCGTCCTCTGCCTCTTCTCGCCCCAGATCGCAGCCGTCGCCGTCTTTGCTGCCGCGTCGAACTGCTGCTGGAGCCGATGCCTCAACCACCTCAACCTCTGTGATGGCTGCCGGCTGCCTCTGCAAGTGCTGTTTGGTCTGGACTAACTTTACCGCGGGTTCGCTAAACGCTGCCCCCGCGCCGCCCCCCCCCCCCCTCGCGGAAGGAGATCGGAAGTCCTGGATCGCCGCGTCTGCGATCGCAACCTCCATCGCGCCGAAGCACACCGGCGGGGGGCTCGCCCCCCCCCCCCCCCCCGCGCCACAAATGTCCGACAAGTCCTCCTGCAGCCCCTTCGCCTCGATACCCCCCCGCACCATTGCGCGAAAGTTGACCTGGCGACGGGGAGATGGCGCACTGCTGTCCTCGTCATCCTCCGCCTGCTACATCGTCGCGAGATCTGCCTGCAAGACCTCGCGGCGCCACCTGAAGCGGTCTGCAAGCCGCCTGGTGGGAGTCCTGGCACCCGCGAGCATGCGAGTCCCCAACGGCCCATGATCCCTGTAGCCGCCAAGGTTGACAGGGAGGTCAGGCCGCCGCCGCGAAGAACGCCCATGCCCCCCCCTGCCTGCGGACCAGCACGCAGTCCATCGTGGTCCATGTCCCCTGTGGGCTCCGGCACGTGCCGTTGAACTGCCTTCCCTCCCAAACGAATTCGTAGCCATCAGCTCGACATCGCCCATCAACTCCACCATCGCGTGGCCATTGCCGTTATCAGCGGCCCCGCTCGACGCGCTCCAGCACGACCTACCCGCGGAAGGCGAGGTGGCACATGGGCACTCGCGTCCAATGTGACGACAAGGGCAGCACGAGCAGGGACCTGGATGACCGCACAGCGGCATGTCTGCCAGAAGCGGTCGCGGGACTCCAAGTGCTTCTCGAGGTGCTCATGGGCGTCAGCACCATTAGGTCGATGGCCCGCCTCGTTGGTGGGCTCGCAGCTGCTCAAGATATAATGGTCACGCTCGAACCTCTTGCTGCTCGCATTCCTGATCCTGACACCCTGCAACTTCCCGTCCAGCCACGCATGATCACAACGGACTTCGCTCGACCTGAAGAACTTCAAGCTGATCGCAGTAAGGCATTCGTCGCGCTGGTCCTTGCCCGATCTAGCCAGGGAGTGCAGCTCGTAGGTGCCCGCCTTCCAGGTTTTCCCCAAATCCATCCGCGTGCCTAGCCTGGTGAAGATTGCTACGTCCTCTGCCTTGGCCAGCTCCAGCAACTCGTCCAGCCTGCCCACCCTGCGCAGCGACTCCACGTTGAAGCTCCCCACCTTCAGCGTCCTCGCCTTCAGCGGGGACTGCACAACCTGTGGGCATTATCCTCCTTCGCTTCTCCTCGAGCTTCAACAAATATTGAAGGCAGCTGGGGCACCGAGTTCTGCACCTCGGCGGAAGAAACCAGCTGCGCGGCTGCAACACGTGTCATATTCCTTCCGTGATACCACGCTGCAGCCGCCACCAAAGCAAACCTCACCGCTCGCCTAAGGGCACGCTTTCCACGCATGACCCTTACGCCCTATTTCCAACAACGCAACCGCCACGGTGTCGCCACCTTCGCGGGCCGGGCTCCCCGCGAACGCGCACCTCGCAGTGGTCGAGGGAACTGCTCTCCCCGCCTCAGCGCCCAGCGCTCGCCATGGCGCGGCCGACGGGGAAAGCGCCTTGGCCAGGACGTGCGACCTGGCACGACCGTCCTCTGCGACGTAGCCGTCTCGAGCCGTCGAAGCTTTCCGCGGCCCTCCGCCGGCTTGCGCCGGCTGGGGCCGCTGCCGCTCGGCCTCCGCGGGCGAGGCACGCCGAAGGCGAGGCACCGCCGAAGGCGAGGGGCCGCGCCGGAGGCGGGGGGGCCTTTCCGGAGCGCCGCCCCGCCTGGGGCCCCGCCGTCGCTCGGGCGTCCCTTCTCCGTTGCACTCTGTTCGGTTTCGTGCGTGCTGTTCGCTGCTCGATGATCCAGGATGAGAGACCCCTTCGATGGGGTCCGAGTAGATGGGGCCAAAGGAGCGCGCCGCATCGCCGAGACATCGCCATGCATTGCCGACGTGGGCGATGAATCGGCGACGTGGACGCGAAGTAAATCGGTTTCCACATCGAGACGCATTGCCGATGCATCGGCGATGCGGCGCGATCCTCCGATCTCATGTACTCGGACCCTATCCAGGAGGCCAAGAAGGATGCTCTTCGATGGTCTTCGCCGCGACGAGACGCGCATGGCCAGGCGATACCAAGGGGAAAGAGGAGGGGCGAGCGGTCCGACCGCATGGCCCGAAAGCCATCCCCGCTCGCGAAAGGCAGCGCCACCATCGGCGACGCGCTCCAGGGGGGGGGGGGGGGGCGCTGGGGGGGGGGGGGGGGGGGCGGCCTCCGCAGAGGGCCTCGCAGAAGCGGGGGGGGGGGCTTCCCAAAAGGCCACCTGGACGCCGACAAGAAACGGGGTTTACGCGAGAGGACATACAATCAAGGCGTGTAGCAAGTGGACGGGTGGTAAGGACGCAAGACCCTTGGAGGCCGAAATGGGGCTTCTTGGGCGGCGGGCGACCAGTGGGAACGGCGAAGGACGGGCCACAGAGGCAAGGACACAAAGGGCACCCTAGAAGAAGGCCCACGTCCTTACTGGGCGCGTTGACTGTATAGAGCGACGAGAAGAATACACATGCGCTATACTCCCTGGCCGCGCACATCCTGAACCCGGCAGCGGTGTGTACGCCACTCCCTCCCCTGACTCCGGATCCGCCCTACTTTGGGGAAATTCGTAAGTATGGCTTGGAATTTCCGCCTTACTTTTCAAGCCCCGCTGATGCCAATTTCCGCCCTACTTTTCTGTTGCTGTTTCCGCCCTACTTCTGTGGATTTCCGCCCCACTGTGTGTTGGGTGCAGAAATGTCCGCCCTACTTGTTCGGCCTCTGATAGGTGGGCTTCCGACGCAACTTCAAGTTGGAAAAAAAAAAAAAGCCAAGAAGTAGGGCGGATCCGGAGTCGGGGCCCTGGCTTGGCCGGGAGGGCACGTGCACAACTCCTGGGCCCAGGAGGGGCCCAGCCAGGGAGCAGTGCCTACTTCTAGACTGAAGGGGCCCCAGGACACACAAATAAATACACACAAATAAAAATATTCCCTATATTTTCCTATATTTTCTGGGTTTCTGTCTTCCCGCCCACTTCCCATATTTTCCCATATTTTCTGGGAAATCGAGGATTAATTGTGTCTGTGTGTTTCTTTTCCTCCTGATAGACTTCGCCGCCGGAACAGAACACAGCGGCCGTGTACGCGGGGGCCTGCGCAGGCCGCCGGCGCGGCACGCCGGCGGCGCCGAGGGCGCTCCCCTTGCCGTCCGCTCGGAGGTCCATTTTCCGGTGCACTTTCCGGTGTCGTGCGCGTTTTTTTGTTGCTCGATGGTCCATCGGGTCGGGCGAAAGGGGGGGATAGCAAAGGGGGGGGTTGAGAATCAGCTCACGTAGCTGATTTTCCCGGCGCCTCCCGGCGCCGGAGGCGGCTATGTATCGAGGAATGGGCCCCTCGGTGGGCCGAAACCAGCTGCATGTAGCAAATTTCGTAACCCCCCCTTTCCCAATCCCCCCCTTTCGCCCGGCCCGAGTCCAGGATGGTCCTCGATGGTTCTCGCCGGGAGAAAATGCACACGTCCGAGCGATGCCAAGTCCCGCGCGATCTCACGCGGGCAGCTTGCGCGCCAGGGTCGGTGAAGAGGACCCCGCGTTCCTGCTCCGGGCACCTGCCTGCATCTCTGAGCACGGCAGGCCTGTCAGAAGGCGGGGCCCCGCGCGCCGCCCCCCCGTGCGCGCCACCAGCCCCATGCGTGCGCTGCCCCCCCCCCCCCAACATCCTTCCAAGATCAAGCAGCATGGCACTGGGAGGTAGGACCGGATCGGAGATCGGGAAGCACCGGCGCGGGGTCGAAGTCCAACCGAGCTGGCTCCAGCTGCGCTGGGATGCACAACAGCGCCGTGAAGGCCGGGCCGCATCAGATCTCGTGATCAGATCAGGTCGGGCCGGTCCTGCCATCCGCCGATACATTTTTTCAATACGCGGCCGGATTCGGTGTCCTCAGGGGCCGATAACATGCCCCAGAGGCATAAACAAACGCACGGATTAAACGAAAATTACCGTCGGAGATCTGGTATCGGAATCGAGCCAGATCGAGCCGGCCAGAATCGATATCGAACCGGATCGGTCGGATCGAAGTGGAACGGGTCGGATCTTGCCAGAAGTGTCTCTGACCCAAAATTTCCCCAGGAATTGCAATGAGGCCCCCACGGCCTCCAGAACACCCCTTGGCAACATGGGTCAGGGACACCTCTGTCGTGGGCGGTCTTGGGGCCTCTTGGAGCATGTTGGAAGCCACCCTCAGCGATCTTGCGCTATCTTGAGCCATCGAGGAGGCCATCTTGGGCTATCCAGAGCCCTCTTACAATCATCTCGGGCCATCGTGGACAGCTGCCTCCGACCCAGCCTCCTGTCGGGAATCTTCTGACCCGGGTCAATCCAGACCTGGCTCAGCAGGAAACCAAAAAAATGCAATACAGGAACAAAAAACTGCAACGCGGGTCTTCGCAACCCCGGGTCAACCGATATGCGCGGCCGCCTCGCGGCCACGAGCGGCTCGCGAACCCGGGTCAGCCAGAGGGGGTCTCCGCAGGATCCTGCAGGATACGGTGCCCTAGGAGGAGGAGGAGGAGGAGGAGGAGGAGGAGGAGAAGGAGGAGGTGGAGGAGGAGGAGGAGGAGGACGAGGAGGGAGGAGCTGACCCCCGTCTGCATGGACCCCCGCCTCTCGTGGGCCCCGATCCCGGGCCCCGCCGCCCGCGTCACCCGGGGCCCCGCCTGGCCGTCTTGGACCCGCGGACGTCGCGCAGCTCCTCGTCGCTGCCCATGATGTACTCGGAGGCGCACGCGCGCTCGCGCGCCACGGGAGGAGGGAGAACGATACAGTCGGGGCGCTGACCTAAGGAACCCAAAATGAGGAAGGAGGTCCCTTTTTTCCATCTTCGACTTGCTATCGAAAAATAAGGACAACCTGAGGCAAGCTGTTAACCAATCAAGGAACGCGGAGCCCCTCCCCAACGAAAAGGGTTCCTTCTTCAGGGCCCCGACTGTAGGGGGGACTGGGGGGGGGGCGTGACTTGCCATCGCTCGGGCGTCCCTTCTTCCCCGTGCACGCTTCGGTTCCGTGCGCGCCCTTCTCCGCGGCAGGCACCAGGATGCTCCTCGGTGATCCCCGCCGAGAAAAAATATATGCACAGGTCCGAAAAATGCCAGGGGGGGCGCCGTTCCCAGACCCCCGACGTGGTGATTTTTTCGTCACGTCGACTCCAGAGTTCTCGACCCCTTCCCCAGGACCGGTTTGCCATCCTGAGTCGTTTTTTGACGCCCCCGAGGCCCGGTGAGGGCCCCCGGAGGCCGAAAATGGCGAAAAACCTCCCGTCGTGTTTTTTTCATGACTCGAGGGGGTCTGGGTTAGGGGGGGGGGGGGGACGTTTCGGGCTCGAGGTCCGAGTCGAGGTCTCCGGGCGCTCTCTCCGTCGGCTCTCGGCGCGTGCCCCGCCTCGGCGTGCCTTCCGGCGGCTGCGCCCCGCCGAGGGCGTGCCTCCCGGGGCGCCCCCAGATCGCACCGAAAAGGCCGCCAGAGCCGCCAGAGCCGAGCTGTGGCCCGAGGGCAGCCAGGGGACAGTCTGTGGGAAAAAACACACACAAAAAACATACAAAAACACACACGTGGGAAAGAAAACATACATAAACATACAAAAACACCAAAAACACGTGTGTGTGTGTGTGTGTGTGTGTGTGTGTGTGTGTGTGTGTGTGTGTGTGTGTGTGTGTGTGTGTGTGTGTGTGTGTGTGTGTGTGTGTGTGTGTGTGTGTGTGTGTGTGTGTGTGTGTGTGTGTGTGTGTGTGTGTGTGTGTGTGTGTGTGTGTGTGTGTGTGTGTGTGTGTGTGTGTGTGTGTGTGTGTGTGTGTGTGTGTGTGTGTGTGTGTGTGTGTGTGTGTGTGTGTGTGTGTGTGTGTGTGTGTGTGTGTGTGTGTGTGTGTGTGTGTGTGTGTGTGTGTGTGTGTGTGTGTGTGTGTGTGTGTGTTGTGTGTGTGTGTGTGTGTGTGTGTGTGTGTGTGTGTGTGTGTGTGTGTGTGTGTGTGTGTGTGTGTGTGTGTGTGTGTGTGTGTGTGTGTGTGTGTGTGTGTGTGTGTGTGTGTGTGTGTGTGTGTGTGTGTGTGTCCCACAGGCGCCGCCGCGGGGGGGACATCGAGCTGTCAGCCGGCGAGGCACCGCCGGAGGATCCGCGACAGGCCCCCGACGGCGAGTCCCAAAACGACGCCAAGATCGGGACAACATCGGATCGGGAGAACCCGAAATCGCCGAGGATCGGCGGGTTTGGAGGACGTCTTGGGCGCCGCGGCCGCGCCAGAGCGGTGCGGAACGCTCTGAGAGCGCTCCGGAACGCTCTGGAGCGATTTTTTTTTTTTTTTTTTTTTTTTTTTTTTTTTCTTTTTTTTTTGGAACGCTCTGGAGCGATTTATCCCGAGCCCAGCCCTGTCTTAAGTCCGCATGGTGCTGGGCGTGGCGAGCTGCCGGGCCCCTCGCGGCGGTCGGTCTTCGGGCGGCGCCGCAGGGCGAGGGCGCAGCCAGTGCGCTCCAGGAGCGAGAAATCATGCCCTGAGGCCGAACTTCGCTGTCACATTCGTGTCAAGACAACCAAATCGGGGATGGACAGACCCCCCTTCAGTAAAACGTGGTCTAGTGAGAACGACCTGAGGCCCAAACCTGGGGGCGCCAGCCTGGAAAAAACGGCCACGGCCGACCGAAAAGACTACATGATCACGCTGAGCAAACCTACTCTGCATCATACCTCTTGCGACTGATGTGACCCTTGCAATTCGGGCGATCGGGGATCGATGCGTCCCCTCCGCAGCCTAGCCCACCCGAGCGTTTGCCCCCGACGGGCGCTCGGCGCCACGGGCTCCGTGGCAGCCGCGAGCATCCGAAGACAGAGGCAGGCTCCTCCTCCTCCTCCTCCTCCTCCTCCTCCTCCTCCTCCTCCTCCTCCTCCTCCTCCTCCTCCTCCTCCTCCATCCTCCTCCATCATAAGGACAGGCCCTGAGCTCCGAGCGCTGCCATTATGCACGCTGGGACTCCTCGCCCCGTCTCGGGCCCCTGGACCATCACAGACCGATGTGTCCTCGAAAAGGGCAACAGCAAAAAGGGTCTGGGGCTCTGGTCGTGGCCTCTCGCGGTCTTGCACGTCTTCGGAACGTCGGATCTCGGGGTTCGACCGTGCATCGACAAAATGCTGCACCACTTTTGCTGTGCATTGGCACCTGTACTGCGTTG